TGGTTATTTTTCCCATAGGGTGTTGTGTTTTTGCCTGTGGCCTTGAACCGAGGTCTTCCTATCTTGCCTCCTGCAGTAGCTGGGATTACACTTGTGCAACACCACACCCGACTTACTTGCTGAGATGGAGATCTCACTAATTTTATACTCAAGCTAGTCTTGAGCTTTGATCTTCCTGATCTCTGCCTCCCAAGTAGCAAGGATTTCATGCTTGATCCACCACTCTTGGCATAAAGTTCAGATGGGGTATTTTTTTATTGTTGTTTGTTTGTTTTTGTTTTTAACAGTACCAGGGTTTGAATTCAGGCCCTTGTGTTTGCTAGGCAAGCATTCTACTGCCTGAGCCACACCTCCAGTTCAAAATCTAAATAATTTTTAATATAACATTGTTTTTTAAACTGTTGTGGGTATTCTAATATAGAAATTTGGGGGGAGGGGGACTGGGGTTTGAACTCAGGGCTTCATGTTTGCAAGGCAGGCGCTCTACTGCTTGAGCCACACTTCCAGTCCATTTTTCCCTGGTTATTTTGGAGATGGGGTCTTGTGAACTATTTGCCCACGCTGGCCTCGAACCTTGATCCTCCCAATCTCAGCCTACCAAGTAGCTAGGTGTGAGCCACCTGTGCCCAGCTAGAATGGTTTTTTTTTAAATGGCTAAAAAGGCTATGTTATTCCACATTGGTATAGGCTGGGTCAAATCACACATTGGCATTTCAGTTCCTCAGCCTACAACACCAGCACTTTCCATTTCTGCCTGTATGACAGTGTTTATTTATTTGGCTGTAATGCTGTTTACCTGGGAAGTACTTTACATTGTTTATTTGTCAAAGCAGGAGGAATCAGAGTCCGGTCAAGTGCATTAGGCCCAGTGTTCTTGGTCCTCTTAAAAGAAAAGGTATGTAATAGCATGGTGACTCTCTGATTGACAATATCATATTATATACATGAATCCTGCTAAGAGGGTAGATCTTAAATGCTCTCATCACACACCAGAAAAAGAGGTAAGTAGGTGAGGTGATAGATGTGTTAACCAACTTGACCGTGGTCCTCACTTCACAATGTGTACCTATATCAAATCATCCCATCTTACACCTTAAATATATACTCTTTCACTTAGCAGTTTCCCTCAGTAAACCTGAGAAAAAAGAAAAGATAAATCACACTTCTGGTATTAAATCTAGCCAAGTTTGAATTAAAACTAGAAATTTTGTCAGAATGAACTCGTGTCATTACTGTCCTTTTTTTATAAAGAAATGTGAAGTTTTTCAAATGTATGTTCTACTGATTATAAATTTTATGAATTAGCTATCTTGTATTATTTATATTTTCCTATACTTCATATCTTAATCATACAGTCATCTATTAATATATATTCCCAAAATAACTGCCTCCTGTGACCTGAGCATAGAGATAAAAGATTCATAGTTGATATGTTGCAGAAATATATGATAATGTCATTGCAAATATTTCTGTATACATACCGTTGGCTCAAATGTAAGAAGAGATTCACCCCATCACAAAATTATGCTTCAGTAAAGCAAGAATTGCCATATACTCCAGTCTATGGAGTTTTTGATGTACCTGGGTGTTCTCTTAATTACATTATTTTGAACTGCAAAACACTAAAGTATCAGTCTCTGCTAATGTTAGATGCTTATAGAAGGCATCTAGTGACATCTGTATTTTTTAAATGGCAAATAAATTTAACGCTCGTTTAATCATTCCTGGCAATATGATTTCAAGTATCAGATGTCATTTGTTTTTTATTGTTGTGCTGGGTAGAGGTACATTGTGGCATTTACAGAAGTTATTACAATATATCAAATATAAAAACAGTGACTTTTAAAAAACCATTCTGAATATGTGAAATAATTGTGACTTTCTTAAATTGTCCTTTGGTGTTTTCATAATTCCTCTACATTTGTATTTATTTACTTATTTTGGTGGTACTTTTTTTTTTTTTTTTTTTTTTTGGCAGCACTGGGGTTTGAACTCAGGGCCTCATGCTTGCTAGGCAGATACTCTTACTGCTTGAGCCACTCTGCCAGCCCTTCTTTGTGATGGGTTTTTTAAGAGAGGGTCTTATGAAGTACTTGCCCGGGGCTGGCTTTGAGTCTCAATCCTCCTGATCTCTTCCTCCTGAGTAGCTATGATTTTACAGGTGTGAGCTACCGGCACCTGGCTGGAACTGGGCCTTGAATTCAGGGCCTCCCGCATGCTAGGTGGGTACTCTACCTCTTGAGATGCACCTTGCTAGAACTAGTACTACTTTAAATGTGGGAAAGTTATTTTTTCTCTTTATTGTATATAAGGCCAAAGAGTTTACTTAATTTACCCAGTGGTATTTCTTTTAGTGGAAAAAGTTTGACTGTTTTCTGTCTGTACTCACTTTTGACTTATTTCCAATAAGTTTTCAGGTAATGATCAATATATAAGGAAAGATGTCACTGGAATATTAACTGCTAACTTTTGCTCATTGAAACTTTTTAATTGACCTTCAATACAAAAGCATTATAACACTAATAAACCTTTACTTCCATTCATTAAAAAAAAGCCATTCAATAACTGGTTTGTTTGTATAGATCACCTTCAGGGCCAATACAGAAACCAACTCTCCCAATATCAGGAGAATGGAGACTTGTGGTGTTGGTGAAATCTTTCCAATCATAGACTCACACATAGATTCAAAAAGTACTATATTTGAGACAACTTAAAATTAAAGATGAGGTACTTTGGAAAATGGATCCTGATATAGTAACAATATTTGTATTTATTGAATAAAGTCTTTTTCTTTAATCTTGCAAGAAGTTATTTACAACCCTAGAAATATTCTTAGGGGCTCTTAAGTGGAAATAGGCATGAAAATAAAGCTGATATTAAAATTTGTTGCAGAAAGTTAATGGAATTAGTATGGTGGTTTAGTTTCAGAGCTATTCCAAAGTATACCAGTAGATGGAAGGATTCTTTGCTAAAAAAAGGACCGAAGTCTTTTGCTATTGAGGGAGAGTGGAAAGCCTGGCATTATTTTTAAAGCCGCATATTAAAGCACGAAAAAAAAAAAGCAAATAAACGTAATATTTCTTGAATGTCAATCATTTTTAGAAGCTCTAAAGGAAATGTAATATGAATAATTGGTAATGTGGAAAAATGAATGTTACGTTTATTATTGTTTGATCTTTTCTGTTATAATTTTGTAGTTTTAAGTTCAAAGTTACTGTTTTCCTACTAAAGTACCTGAATTAAATTATCTTTAATATTCCATTTTCATAATTGGATAAGGAACATCAAAACCAAGGAGTGTGTATGTTTTAAAGTACAGCTTATTTGAAAGGGGGCTTCTTCTATCTAACTTAGAGTGAGTTAGACAGCCCTCATTAGTTGGCAACAAAATTTTAAGCATTATTCCTATTGGTGCCATGTTTTACTATTATCATTTCTGGAAAAATCTATAGGATTGAGTTAGCTAGTACAATACCAGATTTGTGAATTGAATAATAATTGATTTCAATTGAAGATGTGCTTTCCAACTTTTTTAATATTCATTTTCAATAAATAGTGTAAATCAGTCTTTTACTTGCATACTGTTTATCAGGCAACACTTTTTTGTTTGCTTGCTTTTTTTGAGAGGTCTCACTATGTAGCCCAGGCTGGCCTAGAACCTGTGATTTCCTCCTTCTTCGGCCTCCCAGGTGCTGGGGATTGCAGGTGTGTGTCACCCCACAAGTCCAGACAACACATTTGATGTCATCTCAGGATATGTTCAGATATTAAAATATTTTTTAAAAATTTCCTAACCATTTAGCATAAAATACTCATTGTGAGATTTCATTGTTTGGGAGTATTTTATTTCTACTGTTGGTTAGCTTTGATTCATTTTGCCTGATATCACCAGTGTTCTACTTTTCTATTAAAGAATATAACTATATGTAGGTATCCATAACATGCTACCATATATAATGAATGAGAAGTTTGGTTTTTTTGAGGCTGCTATTTGGTTGACCTTATGTGGAAGCTTATTTCTTCTACAGTAAGCCCATTTGTTTGTTTTGAGACAGGGTCTTGCTATATAGCTAGACTTGAACTTGCTATATAACAAAGGTGGGTCTCAAACTCAACATCCTCCAGCTGCAACCTCCCAAGTGCTGGGATTACAGACCTGTACCACCAAGCTCAGCAGAAAATAGCTTTTATGTGATAGCTTGAAGAAATATTCTGAGCTTTGGTTAAACAAGGATCACCCCATCTGAGCACCAATCCTGTATTTATAAAATTGTTTTTCAGTGGCATCATCTCTTCCATTTTAGGTGAAATGGAGACAGAAAGCCAGCCCAAGAGACTCTTCCAAGGCACCACCAACATGCTTCCTCCAGATGCTGCACAACTCTCTGATCTCAGTTCATGGTAAAAAATGAAAGGATATTAGCATATGATTACTTTTAAAAAGAGCCATGTCGAAAGTATATTGGGATAATTTAAAATATATTCAACTTTGTATCCATGCTCCCGTAAAGGAAAATGTCTATGAGACATAATTTTGAACAACCAGATCACTTGAAAGTCATGAGTACTTCCTTTGGATGTGTGCATATCCTTTTGACACCTTCATTTTTATTCCTAGCTTCTGTTAGGTCAGCCTCTCTCAATGGATGAGATAATGTAGTACATTGTCATCAACTGGCTTCTCATCACTGTGACAGAATACCTGACATAAGTAAAAGGAGGGAGAATTCATTTTGACTGTTGTTTCAGAGGTTTCAGTCCATGGTCCTTGGCTATGTTGATTCTGGGGCTGTGGTGAGGCAGAACATCATGGTGGCAGGAACATGTTACAGAGGCTACTCACCTCATGGTGGACAGGAAGCAGACAGAGAGAGAGGAAGGAACTGGGAGCTAGCTATAACCTTCCAAAGCATGTCCGCAGTGACTTACTACCTCAAGCTAGGCCCCACCTCCTAAAGTTTCTACCACCACCTCACAAAATAGCACAACCAGCTGGGGACCACGCATTCAACACATAAGCCTGTGGGGGACATTTCATATATAAACAATAACATTCTGTTCCTGGCCCCTAAAGTCTCATAGCTATCTCATAATTCAAAATGCATTTAGTCCATCTCCAGGAGTCCCCAGTCTTCCAAGGCCAGGGCTGGAGGCCTGGCTCAAGCAGTAGAGTGTCTGTCCAGCAAGTGTAAGGCCTTGAGTTCAAACCCCAGACCACCAAAAAGTAAAGAAGTAGAATCCAAGGCCAAATTCCCTTCTGGGCAAACTCTTGGCTGTGAGTCCCTAAGGCGATGCATACTTCCAAGATAAAATGGCACAGAATAAACAGTACCGTTCTAAAAAAGGAGGAATAGGAGAACAGTAAGGAACCATCAGACCAAAGCAAGACTGAAACCTAGCAGGATAAACGCTAAAACCTGTAGCTTCATAGCCAGCATCCAGGACATGTGGTGTGTGGCAGGATGTGAACTTCAGTGGGTTTAGGCAGCCCACCCCTATGGCCTTGCTGGTTGCCCCACACATGCCCTCCCTCTTGGGCTGGCTCTGCTTGCTCTTTGTGGCTTTCCTGGTGTCTCTAATTTCTTTGGGACTCCATTGCAACTTAGGTTTCACTCTTATAGCTTCACACGTTGCCTGGCCTCGCAGTCTTTCCTCTGAAGTCTGGATTGAAGACCCAGGCATTCTTGATGCTGCAAAACCAGCATCACATGAATGATGCCAAGGACTGCTGCCAGCTTGATGAGTAGCTGTGCCCCCTTGGACCCTAGGTGCCTTGGCCTCTGAGTGTCTGGGCAGCTGAGCATTGTAAAACAAATCCTTGGAAAACCACTTCCTAATCAACTATGTTTGAGCAGTGTGCCCAGAGGCACTCTTAAGAGAAAGTCTTTCAGCTGAGTGTAGCTCAAGTGGTAGAGCACTTACCTACCACAAGGCCCTGAGTTCAATCCCTAGTACCACACAAACACAAAACAGTCTTGTGAATATCAGGGCTGAAGGTATAGCTCGGTGGTAGAGTTCATGAGGCCCTGGGTTTGAGCTCCAGCATTGCAAAAAAGAAAACCTAAAAGAGAATCTCTCTAATGAGTTTAGTCTTTCTTACCCTTGAGCTTGCAATGGTTGGGGGTCTGGTCAACTCCTGATATGCCCTCAAGGCATCATTCCTATTGTCTCAATGAACAGTATGTGGCTTCTTGTTTTGTTTTGTTTTGTTTCGTTTTGTTTGCCTGGGCTGCCTTCAAACCATAATCCACTGGCACCTGGCACTTGGCTTCTTTTTAGTGTTGCTAACCATGCCTTCCTTAGTGCCAACTTTACACAGGCTTTTCTGATCTAATTGTAACTTTTCCACATCTTTCTGCTCTGCTTTCTGCTCCCAGTTCTTACTAAACCTGACCAGTTAGCAATAACCATGCCACAGCCCAAATGCTAGACTGACTTGAAATTTCCTCCACCAGATTAATTAGTCTACACCTTTAAACTCAGTATCCCACAAAGTCTTATGCATGGACAAAATGAAGATGAGTTGTTTGCCAGAATGTAACACGGATGGTCTCTAGTCCAATTCCCAATACAGTCTTTGTTCCCATATGAAACCTGATGAGCACAGTCTTTATTATCCACACTTCTGTTGGCATTCTGGTCTTTGATCTCCCACTAGAATCACCCCTTAACCTCTGCTTACAGAATTGTAGGGCTTCTGTAGCCCACATCTCCAAACTTTTCTAAATTCCTCTCACAAACCATATCCAAAGGCAGAAGAATCACAACAACCCAACTTCTCTTGTATCAATTTTCTGTGTAAGTCAGACTTTTTCATCACTGTGACACATTACCATAAAGAGAAATATTTATGTTGTTTAATGTTTCAGTCCATCATGGCAGGGAAGGCGTGACACAGCAGAATAGCTAGTATCATGGAGGCCAGGAAATAGAAAGGGGAAAGGACCAAGGACTAGGTATAACCTTCAAAGGCATGCCCCAGTGACCTACTTCTCCAAGTATTCCCCACCTTCTAAGGTTTCCACCAGTTCCCAAAATAGTGCCACAAGCTGGGGACCAAGTGTTCAACATATGAGCCTGTTGATGACATTTTATATTCAAGCTAGAATACCATGGAATTCTCTAAATAGCATGATCTGTTGTTATAAAATCTTTTGAAGACTTTGTGATATTTCATCACAGTGCTGACTAAGGTCACATTTTGTTTGTTTTTTGAGACGGGGTCTTGCTATATATAATCCAGGCTTGCCTTAAACTTACTGTGTACCCCAGGCTGGCCTTGAACTCATCCCTCTGCCTCAGCCTCCTGAGTGCTACAACCATAGGTGTGCTTTAACATACCTAGGTTAAGAGTGTATTTTTATAGTAACACATTCTGATTCTTATGGTCCAGTTGCACAACTGGTAGTCTTACTCATCCTAGCTTAGGTCTTTAACTTAAGGACCATCAGTGTTTTTGTCAGAAAGTTAACATTTCCTAAACCTGAAGTTTGAGCAATTGGATGCTGACATACATATGGGGGGAAAGGGAACAGTAACTATAACTAGGTAATATTTTGAAATCTTTCAGTATGTTCTAGTCAACTTGCTTAGTCCCCGTGTTCTAGATGTAATTGTGTAGTACCTTTCAGAACTTTCCAACTCCCTGAGTTTTACCACTGAGAGTCTTTAAACACGCACATACTCACAAAGTGCACTCACTTTAAAAATAGAATGGTACCCTCCAAATGAAAGAAGTATATAAGACATATATAAAGTGAAAGGATTGACAATTCCTTCTTCCCAAATCATTTGTTAATCGTTTTGTGTAAGAAAACCTAAAGTTGTGGTTGCCCAGCAAGTCACAGCTTATTCTCATTTATTAGACTCATTGACCATTACTGTTAGAATCTTGGAGCAGGTGCCTTTTAAATTGTTCTTGCTATTTTCAGCTCCATAGTCTCCTTTTCCCCCTCATCTCCATGTTCCTTGGTGACTAAGTGTGCTAATTTTGGCACAGAATCCCTTTCCAGGTATGTAGATGGTTTCAAACAATGCTTGAAGCTTGTCAAGAGGACTAGTGGATGAAACTCTATACTTGGTACAAACTGCATATCACTTTTATGGTAAAGTGTGTTTGAATATAGGTACATGGCTATAAATAGGTTTGCTCACTCAGTTACTAACCAAATGACCAAGTTAAGTAAATGTTGACAACATTTTGGCAAGCTAAAAACGTACAGGGTGAGGGGCTGGTGATGTAGTACATGGGTGGAGCATGTGCTTAGCATGCACAAGGCCCTGGGTTCCATCCTCAGCATGACAAAAACAATACTGAGTGAGGAGATTTATTTTTATGTTGTCTTAGGCTGACTGCTGGATGCCATAAAACAGGTTCACACAAATAAGAAAAGAAAGAGAAAGCATGGTATTTATGAAGCATTCTCAATCCTTGTCAAGACATTTATTCCTCTAAACAGCACAACCTTAGCTGTCTATGGCAGTGGCTCTTGTGAGACTTCGATTTCTGTCACCCATACCCATGAGTAGATTTGTTAGTGGCTACAAGAATATTTGTTAGTGGCTGGGAATATTGACATTCATAATGATTTTTTTTTTTGGCGGCACTGGGGTTTGCACTCAGGGCCTCATGCTTGCTAGGCAGGTGCTCTACCACTTGAACCTCTCCACCAGCATGATATTAATAATGAAGGAAACTTTTGATCTTTAAATATAAAGGGCTGTTGCCTCACACAGAAGAGATTTGCCTTATTCATGATTACTCATAGGGTGCCAATGTAAGGACTAAGTAATCTGTGATAAATTTATTACTCAAAATTCACAGAAACTAAGTGCCAAAGAGAGTTAAGTACTAGCCAGGTGCAGTGGTGCACGCTTGTAGTCCAAAGTACTTGGGAGGCTGAGGTAGAAGGATTGATAAGGCCCAGTTCAGAAGTCAACATAGCAAAACCCCATCTCAAAAACAAAAAGGTAGTGAAATAATTAAACTTTCAAATAATGTTTTTAGTTAGTTTGTAACATCTGTTCTGAGATTTTTAAAGCTTAAAATTCTGTTAAGACTTTTAGAGCACCCTGTATATTAAGGATTCTGACATGTATGTCTATAGTGAAGAGATTTAAGTATAAATTAGTCTTTTAATGTAGACCCTAGGTCCTGCGTTTGCAGAAACATTTCTTTTATCTCTTAAATACAGTTTCATTGATCAAAATCAAAATGGGGGACAGAAATAGAAACCAGCTGTGTTCTGGTTTCTATTGACAAGGATGGCAAACTACTTGATAGCAAAAGGAAGGAAACAACTTTTATGCTACCTTTTAGAGAGCAGATAAAGGATTGGATAATTAGTAGGTGTTTTCTCATCATTTTAATCTTTATATTTATTCTCTGCCGCATCCCACAA